AGTTAAATGTGGAATGCAGAATAAAGATTAGCATGCTTCTCTCTCCCTCACCTGCTCCTTAGGCAAGTCATCTGGTTGCCTCACACCAACAGGGAACAGACAGAGAAATGTCTCCTAGATTGACAGAGAAATAGCTCAGCTGGGGAAATGTGTCAAGTGAATGATCTACAAGTCCCTGGATTCTGACAGCAGCTATCTTGTAAAAAGCACATTTTTCTGACCCTGTACTCCATCTGAGGGCAGTTAGTATCACGGGCTGAAGGGCTACGAAATGAATGGGGGAAAGCTCTCAAGCACGTAAGCAAGTTCTACGTGGAACTTATCCATATCTGGCCTTCTCATCAGAGACTTTCTCCTACATCTTTAGAAAGGAATTCAAATAGAACAAAAACTCCGGCACCCCAATTTCACTTCAGGAAGATGCTTTGGTTGACTTCCATTATCCAGTGAGAAATGACTGAAGTGATTTTCCATCTGATTAGGAGATACACAGGAAAGGGAGAATACTAGAGGGACTATGAGCCCGTCAAAGCATGCTCCATGTTGGGAGAGGGTGGGGATTATAATAATAAACATTTGGCTCACTGTGAGAGAATAGGTCAATAATTCTATAAAATGTTTAGCCCAATGGCCAACAGTCTAAGTTAAATCTGTCTTGTCAGGAAGCAATTTAAAATAAGTAAATAAAGATGAGGCATGCACACATATACCCCTGAATACCAGTTAGCCTTTTAAAATGCAGGGACCAAGATGAAAATTTTTTTCTCAAACAGATTTTGGAAAATAGATGAGCAAAATACCCAAAGAAGAAAAACTTGTGATGACTTCTAATTTTATTTTCCTAATTTAATGACATCAGTAGAAAATTATAGAAGGTTTGGAATACACTTAAATATGCACCATTTATCGTACTTTATACCTCAATATAGTTGGCTAAATAAACCTTATTGTCCAAGCCTGTTTCATAATTCCTCTTATGTAAATAACGAAAAAAAAAGCAGTAAATTCATTACTTTCTCATTAAGTCCACAATCCCAGAGATTTCAGGTACTAAACAAGTAATGAAGATCTTCTGGTTTATACCCTTAAGGAAAGTTTAATTTATTTTGAAATAGTGCTTCCTCAGTGCTTAACAAAAGAGATATCAGAACTTAGAAGAATGGGTCAATCTGCATGTCATATAAACCCACTGGATGTGCTTCAGTGATTTCAATTTTCTTTTCTTAAATGTCATTGAATGGGCGCCATCATTAACTATGATATGAATGCTATATGTGAAAGAGCTTCTCAGTTTTATCTGGAACTTCTTCTTGGCATTTCTAACAAATATACAATCTATAAACTACCTAGCACATGAATTCACTTGAAGAAGAAATCATTCTAAAAGTGTCCAGGAGCAATGTATAAGCATTCTCTAGATTGTTAAGTATCACTCACAGTCCGCTTAACTTCTGAAGGGCACTGACTGACCGAGGAGAGATACTCAGTAATTTGCTGAGTTTATTTTGGATTGGCCAAAATGACAGGTCATACTTGGCTGAAAATTTATTGTCAGTTCCAGGTACTAGTGCTGACTAATCTAGTACTTCCCAAAGTCGAGAAATATATTAAAGGGGAAAAAAAAGAATTAAGAACTCTACCCACCCACTTGAAAAAAAAAGTTTCTTATGAATATAAATATAAACTTCGCTTAGGACCTTCATTGCATTGTAAACCAAAAAATATTTTACAAATTAAACGCACACAAAACCACAAAATCAGTAACATTTAGAATTAAAATGAATTTAACTTGACAGATGATACTGCGTTGCTGAAATTAAATTGCCTCTAGAAGTGACTATGGTATGGACTGCTATGGTTCTGGTTTCATTTTTTTGCTTAGTTTGTTTTCTTTTCTTTTTTTTAAATTTTATTTATTTGACAGAGAGAGAGAGAGAGATCACAAGTAGGCAGAGCAGGAGGCAGAGGGAGAGGGAGAGGGAGAAGCAGGCTCCCCACTGAGCAGGGAACCCGATGTAGGGCTCCATCCCAGGATCCTGGGATCATGACCTGAGCCGGAGGCAGATGCTTAACCGACTGAGCCACCCAGGTGCCCCTGTTTAGTTAGTTTTCAAGTCCAGTGTATTTCTAGGACTATAGGCCAAATGCTATCTCTGCTTTGCCACTTATTTCCTGTGTGACACTGGACAAGTTATCTAACTTCTCAGTTCCTCAGTTTCTGTGTCTATAAATTGGAGATCACTGTCTTTACCATAATAACAGACAAGACAAACAGCACTTTAAATGCTTTACAGACACTAACTCATTTGATCCTCCCAACAATGTTAACCAAGGAGAACCGGAAGCTCAGAAAGAGTAACTTGCCCAAGGCCACATCACCAGCAAATGATTGTGGTAGGATTCCAAATCAGACCTGCATGGTGAACCAACACCCCATATAGTCTCTCATCATGCTGTTGCTTAAAAATAATTCCTAGCTCATCAAAATCAAATGTATCAACATATGTAAAGTGCTAAGAATTATGCCTGGCTCATACCAACATTCAATAAAGGCTGACTATAGTTGTTATTTTCTCATATCTCCCATTATTTTTCTTTGAGAGTACAGTGATGTCCCAAGGACCTTCACTTGACAAGAATGTATCACAGACTAAGTCCGTCTCAGTTATTTTCTCATGGCTTGGGCCAATGAAATTGGTGAACCACGTTGTCTCTGCTCGAATGCAACTTGATGTACAGTGTGGACCCAGAAACATCACAGCACTAACCAGACTAAACTTGACATTAATTCTCTTTTACACCATCTTTAAAATAAAAACTGGTGTACACCTAAGAAAATATCCAAGGATCCCCCCCCCATCCCTTCCAGAAACCCACTTTATAAAACTGCTCACTTGTTTATACTCTGAAAAACTGATAGCTCTGGACTGTTTAAAAGCAGAATGTGGGTGGATTTTGAGTGGATCCTGTTTCCTTTTGCCCAGCACAGTACCTGGCACACAGTGGGGGCTCCCATGATTTCTGAACTGAATCCCAGAGCCACTGAGGGAAGGGAGAAATTACCCAGAGACAGGAGGAACAAAAGACTGCAGTGCTAAAAAGGTCGGCCAGAACTGTGCAGAACAAACAATAAAAGCACCAACTCCATATCCCATAGTTCTAGGCAAAGAAGACTTGTGATAAATGTAGATGTGACTGACTTAAAATTGTTGAGATCAGATGAGGTGGGCTCAGCTCATCGGCACCTGCTGGGTTCAAATCTGATTTTTTTTTCTCTTTTACATTTAGACTTCCCTTGTCAGTATGAAGAATAAATTTGCCTTACTCTCTGGGGGGTCCAGATTTGAGCCTGGCTGCTTAAGAGAAAGAAGACTGGAAACTGGGAAGCCTTTATGCTGCGATAACTGGCCTCTCTGCCATTCCAGGGCAGATGTGGCTATCTCACTCTTGAGCCTAAACCAACCACCTTAACTCTGTCCGCAGCCCCACCCATGCCCATCCGGAGCTGTGACTGTGCAGGAGAAGCCACGTAGTCACGCTCTTGGCACCTGCCAGGTAACGGGACTCAGCAGGGAACTCCTCCGGGACATCCACTCGGGGACTGAAGGAGAAACATGGCTTCTGGCTCGTCCCGGCGGCCTACATCTCCCTCCCCAGCACCCGAAGCGGCGGAAGTGGGACAGGCGTTGGGAGAGTGGAAGGGAAGGCGCAGAAGAGCGCGGGGAGAAGATCGAAGCTCTGCTAAGTGCGCCGAGGGCTGGGGACGCCTAGCCTACCTCTTCGCTTCCCTGCGGGTTCCTGCGGGGGCCGGGGGCTTCTGGAAGGAAGCCGGGGAGGCCCGGACGCAGAACCCTCAATGTAGCGAATTACAGACCTAGTTCTGTGCCCTTATAAAGAACCCTTCTCCTTAGGAGTTCCCTCCACCCCCAGGCGGGGGCGGGGACAGCTATGGGATCCAGATCTTTCGGCCTCCGGAAGTCGAAACGGCCCTTTAGACACCCTTCTAAGAACCTGAGGCCACTGTCGCCAAGACAGACGGTGGTCAAAATCACCTGGAGAGTTTCAAGCATGCGCATCATGGGACCCACACACAGAGGTCTCTCATTATAATCTAAGCTGGGACCTGGAAATGTGTATCTTTCCAAAGCTGGCTTGGGAGACGAACCCCTGCAGCCTCCGTTCTTGTCCCAGCGTCTCGTCCCCCTCCTCTCCGCCCCCGCAACCGGTCCCAGGCCACTGGGAGAAACGCTATTTCCCGGTGCGAGGCCACGAACCTCGCAGAACCGCAGCGGAGGGTCAGCCCGGCCAGGGGCGCCCCCGGGGCTCCGCCACGCCCCCAGCCCAGGCAGGCAGCGGCCCGTTGCAGCCCAGCACCCGTACCTTTCCCGATGACTTCCAGCAGCTCCTTTTCTTCCTGGGTCAGCTCGCCTTTCGTTATATGAACCATTGCTCCCGCCAGCTTGAAGATGATTCTGTTTCTTTGGAGGTATTAAAAAGAAACTATGTGTGTGTGTGTTAGGAATGCCAACCGCAATGGGGCAACTCGAGACCAGACGCTGAGTAGCCAACCGCGGAAGCGTTCGAATTCTCTCCTCCCTCCCGCGGGCTGGCGAGCAGCTGGCGAGCTCCAGCGAGCCGGGAGGTCTGTCGCGGCAAGCCCAGCGACAGTCACCGCCCGCCCGCGCGTCATTGGCCAGGCCGGGAGGAGGAGCTACAGGAGGTGGCAGCGAGAGACTCCTATTGGCGCAGCCTGGCAAGGAAAAACCCAATGGAGAAAATCAGAGGGGGGAATCAAATTCCTCTTCCACCTTCCCCACCCCCTTCCTGCGCTCTGTTCAGACATTTAGGCACACGCAATATTTGAATTCTCTTTTCAGAAGTTCCGGGTCCGCCCACGGCTGCTCGGGGCGCGCAGAGGTCCCTGGCTGTCTCCACAAGCCCCCACCGTTTTCCCAGGAGTGGCGCAGCCCGGGACGGGGGCGGGCTGGGAGGCGGGGCGGGGCGGGAGGCGGGGCCGCGCCGGGCTCTGTGGGTCGATGTCAATGTGTCTGTCCTTCACTCCTCCATTGTCTGCCGCCGCCGCTGCCGCGGGTGCCACCGCCGCTGCCGGAATCGCCGCAGCCTGCAGCCTCGCGCGTCGCCGCTACCTCCTCCGACAGGTGAGAAGCAACCCAGGTGGGACAGGGGAAGCCTGGAAGGCTGCGGGAACCGCGGCCGCCGCCCCGCCGGGGGCTTCCATCCGGGCGGGAGCTGGCGGGCAGGAAGCATGTGCCTGCTGGGGCGGCTTCCTGTACCCCGGGGGGGAAGCCTGCCCTCTACCCCAGTACCATGGCGTATACCGCGTATCAGTACCCCAGATTGAAGATTCGCCACTTGCCACGAGTGGCCGCCCGGGGAGACCCTGGGACAGAGCCGGCGGGGGCGGGCCACGCGGTGGGAAGCGGCGGGTGCATATCGTCTCGTGCGTGGCATCGCCAGATGCGGCTTCCCAGAGGCCGGGACTGGGGCTTGGGGCTAGGGGTGGGATGGGGAGGAGCGCTCCCCAGTGCGAGCGAGGTGGACGCATCATGAGAATAGTCTCTGAAGAAGGTAGTTCTCTTTTGGCAAGCCTCGACCGCCACCCCCTTACCCCCTACCCGCGCTGTCCAAAACACACACACTACTTGTCATCTCTGGCCTCTGTGGAAGCTACAGAAGAAAACCGGATCTGATCGCCCTATGGTGCCTGTTAAGGATGTTTGAAAGCAATTTACACTTAAACTAATACTTCGTTTATGAGAGATGGCTTGGGGGGGAAGGGGGAAAGGAGGGCCTCTGCTCTGCTAGAGTTCCCAGTCTCTTTGTAACTCCGATCTTGAGATTTATGGAAATAGGGAGGGGAGGGGAAGGGGGCGGAGATTAAATTGGCGTTGCTGTCTATATATAGCCTTAGATTAGCCTCTTAATCCAACCTTCATTCAACTGTAATATGTTGCCTCGAGCTTTGAGCTTCCACCATAGGTACCTAGGTGGTAAATGCAAGTGTGTACCCTCTTGTGGCTCAGAAGCAAGACTTGCTGGCTAATACGAAGTCAGTCATTCCTCCAGGGCGCGCATCCGTAACATATTTACAGCCTCAATGAAAGCTTCTTTAGAAATAAGTGTTTATGTGTCACTGTTGTTTCTGTATGGACTAGTATTGATTTTTCTTCCTAGACTCATGTACTTCAAAGAGAAATACTTGAATAATCATCTAGACTTTTTTGTTAAGCATCCCCACCACCCTCTTTCTCCCCACAGTGCCATATATGAAATGAAATGCATTTTCTTCTCGCCTTATGCCTTCGATCTTTCTTTCTTTTTCTTTCTTTCTTTCCTTTTTTTTTTTTTTTTTTTTTTTTGGCATTCATAACACTTCTGAAATCCTGGAAGATGTTCATCATTATTTCCTGCATTTAACAAAATCTTTTCTAAACTCCAGCTGTTTTCTTTTTAAGGCTTCATCTTTACAGGCTGGGGCAGATCTGAGCCAGAACATCTCACATGAAAATACTTTGTAATTATTCATCTCAATGTATAACAAAGAAACTGTTGTTTGATGATGCTTTAATAATGACGTGGCTTGTTCAGACAACAAGTAGTAAGGCTTTTGAGAGTGACCAATATTTTGTAACACTTAAAATGCTGTTACTGCCACAGTTACAATTGATTTAAAACACAGTATTATGCAGAAGAAACCCAGGAACCTAAGAAAATGCTTGCAGAGTAACCTCCTCTAACAAGTGACTGAACATTTTATGGTGGATGTGTGTCCAGATTTGGGTACTTCATTGCCAGTATTTCCATATCTTTTGCCAAATTGGGGCCATGGTTACTTGAAGGTCACACCTGTTTGTCTCACTGAAGTTGTTAGTTCCTCGAGGATAGCAACTTGTTACCTATTTTCTTGGTGCTTATTGGCATCTGGTTGGTATTTAGTCCTCTGAATACATGACTTCAGTAAATTTAGTCAATGCCATTTAAAGACAAAAACTAACATCTACAAAGAAATGCAGATAAATAATATGTTGTTTAAATTCCTAGAAACAGATGTGTAATGGATAGCATTCATCAGATGGATTACATTAATCATTTTGTACAGAGTAAATATTTAATGTAGGACTAAGACTAGCTGATAAGCATACCTTAAACTTGATCAAGGAACTTTTCTTGTACTAAGAATGTATTAGAAGTTTTATTGGTAATAAAAAACTACCACCCACTTATGGAGTATTTAATTTGTGCCAGATATTCTAGCAGATGCTTTCTATGGGATTAAATTTAACCATTGTTAGAGTGACCTGAATTATAGTAATCTCTCTTTCGGCAAATAAGAGGACAGAAACTAAAAGAACTTAATAAATTTGCCCACCAGTTAGGAAGTGTCAGAGCCAGAATTGGAACCCAGATCTGTCTCCAAAACCTTTTCTCTTTCTATGATTTTCTGCCTATGTGGCTGGCAATAAGGGGGAAATTATATATTCTTTCCACTAACCAATAGATAATACATTCATGTGGTTCAGCATGCCACAGGTACAAAAGCCTCCTTCCTGCCCCCTTTACCAGTCTTTTCTCCATGCCCTGCAACCATTGGTATCTGTTTCTCTCATATCCTTCCTGAGATATTTTATGTGTTTATGGCTTATATGTATATTCCCACTTTAGGACAGAAATTGGAACATAGAAACACACTTCCACACTGCATAATAATATTTGCATGATGCTTTGGTCTCTCTTCTGTTTCTTTTGTCACCTTTTTAAAAATAATGTTTTCTGAAATGTCTGACATTTTTGTCTCCTCTCTTTTCTATTACTGCCACCCTAGACCTCTTCTGGCCCATTGCCATGGATTCCTAAGTAGCCTGCTTCTCTCTCACCTCAAGCCCATGCAGCTAATTCAAGGTGCTACCAGTTCAGTAAACCTTGAGCACCCATGACCCCCCAAGAATGAGACATACTCTGTAAAGACAGAATTGAGTTACTTAAAACATGTCAATAGCTTTCCACTGGCTACAGAACAGAGGTCCAGTTCTTGCTTGGAAGGCTCCATCTTCTGGTCCCAGCCTGCATTTCCAGTCAGCCAGCCCCTCCCACACACTCTAAGGTCACCACACTCACTGCTGGTTCCCTCACATGCCAGTAATTTCCACCCCTTTGTTCCTGTTTTTCTCTTCCTGGAATGCCCTCCCTTCCTTCACCACTAAGTCTCTTGCCTCCTCCTCAGATCTGATGGACTGCTCAACTTTCAAAATACCACTTTTTTTCATGATCACCTCTCCCACCTTATCCAGTGAGGGCATCACAGATGCTAGGAAACACATTTCTTCTTGTGTTTGAGGGGGATAAGTAAAAATCTTTACACAGGAGTCGCTGGTAGCATTATTGGCATGCTCTAAGCCTCTCCTACCTTCTTAGGAGCCCTAGTGCCTCCCCACCCCAATCATTGCTTCTTCCTCTGGCTCCCCATGAAAATACCCGAAGCAGGTACCTTTTCATGACATTCTGGTATAGTTCTTATGAATCTGTTTGACCCCGTCTCCTTCTCAACTCTGAATTAGCTAGCACTAATTTATCCTTGTTTCTCAAAATCGTATCCCAGTGTCTGGCACCTAGTATATACTCCGTGCTTGCTGATTTGAATTTAGTTTGATCTCTAACTTATTTTACGTGGATTTGTTTCCCTACTTGACTAATCCTTCCTGGCCATGTGAGATGATGTGGCACCGAGCACACACAGCCATAACTAAGGGCAGAAGGTCTTTAAATGTTTCATTCTCAAGCTTCTTGACACACTGATTGATGAATGCTGTCAACCAAGAAAAAAAAATTGTCGATTTGTACATGTTACAGATTTCACATACCATTCCTGGATTTCCCCCATTAAATCCCCCAGACCTCCAATTCTCTGCTTTTAGAGATTGCTTTTTCCTTTTTCTGCAGGGCAATAGCTCGTTTTTGAGCATTATATCTTTCTGGGTAATGTTTCCTTGACATTTGATTTTCTTTTCTTAGGTACATTTTTTGACTGAGAGAGTATTTGATGCTATTATGGAATTTTCTTTTACGTTTGAAAAAACTATTGTAGATATATTTTTAAAAGATTCCTTGTCTTTTAGAGATATGTACGGTATTATTTAAGGAGGGAATTATATGACATCTGAGATTTGCTTCAGTATAATTCTGTGACCATGGAGGACAGACACTGAGTAAGAGTATGAATAAGGAAATTGACTTGTTAACACTTGAAGCTGGATGATGAGTAGATTGACTTATTAAACTGTTCTCTCTACTTTTGGGTATGTTTGAAATTTTCCATAATGAAGTTTTTGAAAGGAGAATTTGGAAGTATTACAGCCTCTAAAAATTGTCATTGTTGTTTAACAAAGCAGAAGAAATAATATGAATACAAATGTTCTTTCTAACTCTTGGAGTTTAGCTTATGCAATTATTCATTTAATGTTAAAACAGTTACACCTCAGTCTGCAAAGGACTGTATTGTGACCAGTGCATTTCCATAAACTTTTCATATCACATTTTAGCTTCTCCACAAAACTAAAAGGTAGGTGGCATTGCTCAGTGCTTGTGTCAGAGGCTTATGAATATCTCACTGGAAGCTAATTTTCATCTTTTTTGAAAAATGACAAAGTAATTTGCAGACAGTCTGAACAAGGTACGAAATATTTAACTTAACTGAAAAAAACGAGATGTGAATGGAGATACTGGTTTTCTTCTATGTCTCCTAAGCCATTTCCCAAAAAAGAAGTACCAAAACTGTTGTGGGCAGTATCAGCATTGTTAGGACAAGTATATTAATGTAGGAATAGAAGGGCCAGACTCAGAACTTGTGCCTGCAGGATTCTTACTCAGGTTTTGCTTAACTAAATGCTTATTTTCACACTTACTTCCTGGATTCTTACAACTTTATAACTTAATGTTTCCTGATATTTATGTTTCTTTTCTTACGTTTTGGACTTTTTAAATGTTGATGTTTCCCAAGGCCAACATGGACTTTTTTTGTGTCATTTTCTGACATGTCTTCCCAGACTTTGAAGGATTTTTGAAGATTTACTTAAGCTTCAAAGTGAAGTAGTCTAAGGACCCTGTAGCCAATCCATTATCACTGCCAGATATTGTTGAAGCA